TGACTGAATTAAGACCTTAGGCTCTGGGGACAGGCAGAATTGGGTCTAAATCCGAGCTTTGCCTGTTAATGGCTGTCAGTTATCTCTTGCTGCATTACTCATTATTCCAAAATTTAACAGCTTAAGTTATCATCTCACGGTTCCTTTGGGTAAGCAATCTGGGCATGGCTTCGCTGGGTACCTCTGGCTCACTGTCTCTCCCAAGGCTGCAGTCATCTCAAGGCTTGGCTGGGGGAGGCCTCATTTCCAACCTTACTCGTGTGGCTGTTGGCGGACCTCAGATCCTTGGTGGCTGTTAGCCAGAGATGTGAGTTCCTTGCCACCTGGCCCTCTCCTGCAGGCTGCTCACAACACGGCAGCTGGCTTCCCCTAGAGAGATGAATCTCGGAGACAGTCCCATGACAGAAGCTACAGCATTTCTATTTTGTTTTGTTTCTTGAAATTTTTTTTTTTACTGTAGCAAAAAATTATATATATAAAATAAAATTTGCTATTTTAACCATTTTTAAATATACAATGCAGTGGCCTTAAGTACATTCACAATGTTGTGCAACTACTACCACTATGTATTTCCAAAACTTTTTTATCACCCCAAACAGAAATTCAAAGTGACAGTGTTTTTACAACTGAATCTCAGAAGTGACCTACCATCACTTCTGTTCTGTTGCTTGGAAGCAAGTCTCTAAATCCAGCCCACATTCAGCGGGAGAGGATTACACAGAGCGAGAATACCAGGAGGGTGGGCATCCTTGGGGTCCATCCTCGAGGCTGACTGTATGAAGCTGTTGACCTTCGGTGGGTTACTTGACCTTGCTGAGCCTTAGTTTCATCCTTTGTAAAACAGGTGTGATATCTACCTCGTAGAATTACGCTCACATCCAGGGGAATACCACCAAACTTTCTACTCTTCGACATGAGATAAAATGCATGGCCCTAAGCCATGTATTTGACCACCCTGGACTCCAGACCATGTCTTCCTGAACAGCCTTTTGGATTTTCCAGATGATTCAGTAACAGTCGCATCTTTAGATCCCTGACAGCATAAGCAGATAGAGGACAGAAACAGAGGCAGAACCGTGGAGATCCAGAATACAATCCCTAAATATTCCTAGTATAATCTTTATGCAAAGCAGAGCTTCCTCTAAAGAAGCCTGCACTGGACAATGCTTAGCTCATATGTTCTTATCATACCATCTCTGGGAATCGGTCCACCCCCTCCCTCAGTCACTCATATACACTATCAGGATGCTATCCTTGTTTCCATTGGGGTTTATGCTCTTTCTTCCATGCACATTCCCAAACGTCTCTTTAATGTGTTTCTTCTCTTTCCTGGTGAGCTGTCCTGTGCAGTGAATGAGAAACTGTCAGTTCCTCTGGAGCTCTGTGCATGGGATTATGCAAGGAGCAAGCAGACTGCTTTTAAAACTGTTCTTTACAAATTTCCAAAATGGCAATATATATATTTTTTGTTTTCTCCTTTCACAGGTCAAGTCTAAACAGATGAGGGTTTCATTTCAAACACCAGCTTACAAGTGTGTTCTGGGGTCACCAGCCATGTCTTTATGCTTCTCCTTCTGTCTTCCTATAGGAGACTATCAATTTAGGTCCTTAACTAATCAACTGAAAATTAATTGAGACGATTGTACTTTTAAGTCAAAGAAGGGAATTAATAATCTGTATAAAGTTTTCTAGTGATAAGTACTTTGGAAAGACTATTAAAAACATCTGAAATAAAATTAGTTTACTGGCTAATGCCCAGAAACCAAAAATAATTGCTGAACAGTGTTGTACAAGTGTGTTCTGTAGAAAAAAATACTATTTGTTTGCCTACTGACCAAAATTAAATCAATAATCTCTAGGGTTGATGAGAATATAGTGAAACAGTCATGGAATATAAATTGGACTTATCTCTGGGGAGGCAATTTGGCACTTTCTATCAGAATTTAAAATGGATGTACCCTTTGACCCAGAAATTCTACTTTTAGAAATTAACCTTAAATCATCTTTTCACATATACAAAAGGGTTTATATCCAAGGGTTTCGTTGCAGTACTGTTTGTAATACGAAAAAAATTGAAAACAACTTGAATGTTCATCAATAATAGACCAGGTAAATCAATTACAGTGTGCCTCTACTTTGGAATGCTGTGCAGGAGTTAAAATAATGAAACAGAGTTTTATGCCCACACATGGAAAGATGGACATAGAATTTTGTTACCTGGATGAAACAAGTCATAGAGCATTGTTTCAAGATGATCCCTTCTATAGGAAATAATATATATATGATATTCATATGATATATGTATATCGTATTTATACATACGTATAACTTTATATACCTACATAGATTTGTTTGGAAGGATACACACCAAACTGTTAATAGTGATTGCTCTTCCTCTTGGGAAAGAAAGAGAATTTTCTAGGTGGTGGGAGGGTTGCTCCCCACTTTTCTTTATACACTTGCATATTGTTTGAAATTTTTACAATTAGCGTACATTGCTTTTGTAACTTTCATGAAACAATTTAAAAATTACCTTTTAAACTTATTACAGAAGTAATATGTGTTTATTTTTAAGCAAAGAAAGAAAATAAAACCCTGTAATCTCTCTACCCAGATATAATTACCATTAATCTTCCACACCTTCTTCTACACATGTATTTTAAAAAATGTAATTATTTTGGATAGACTGTTTTGTAAGCTTTTTCTTTTGGTTCACAGTATAAGATAAATGTGATTATCTCCTAAAGAGTTACATAATAAACACATTTATATGTCAGTAGATATTCAATTATAATATTTCTAATGGTTTTAATATTATGGTTTTTAGGTACATGAGATTGCTGCAAACTAGGAATTGGAAATGGGACAAGGTAAACTTATAATTCAAGAGCCTGGTTCCTTACATTCAGTCTCGTCTGTCCCTACATCCACACTGCCCACACTCCACCTATGCTCTGTCAGTGTCTTGAATAAAATCTTCCATGGCCACCCGTTGCCCTCAAGATGAAATTCTACCTTCCTTATATGGATGACAAGGTCCCTCATTTTCTGGCTCTTGTTTGTTCTTCAGCATTTGTTGAGTCAGCACCGTTACTTCCAACTCAAGTCAACCTCGCACCTCACCCTGGCTTACTCGCACGCCTCCTTCAGGGTTCAGCTTCAATTCCTCCGTTTCTGATTCAACCACTTCTTGATTCCCATACTGTCCTGTGCCTACTCTAAGTCCTGGGCATCTTTTGTTTTTGCCACCTAACGGGCACTCTCCCTTTTCCTGACAAAATAGTTCAGTGTGTGTGGAGACAATCTATCCTTCAAGTTCATCGTCTCTTAATAGGATAATAACAGGTGGGAGCCCCGCTGAGCAGGGAGCCAACACAGAAACAAGCAGAGCAGAGCAAAGAGAGAGAAATAATGTCATGGTGACACTGTGTAGGGGCTCTTTCATGAAGCCATGACTGACCAGCTCTTCCCTCAACTCCTCAGTCAGTTGAGCCAAATATTCCCTTTTTGCTTAAACCTCTTAGGGTTGGGTTTTCTCTCACTTGTGACCCAGAGTTCCAAAACATGTATCCCATGTCTCATCAACATCGTATCTGTCTACTGCTCATTCCTCCTTGTTAGATTTTGAGCTCTGTGAGGAAAGGACCTGGATCATATTCACCTTTCTATCTCCAGCTTCCAAAGCAGTGCTTGAGTTTATTAGATGCTAAGTATTTGTTGAGTGAATAAAATGCCCCAGAGTCTACCTTGACTGTTTAACATAAACTGTTCAATGCTGCTGGCTTATCCAGGCCTAAAATTGTGCTGAGTCTATCAGGAAGACATAATAGGTTAGGGGGAAAGAATTAGCGTTATTGAATGCCTGTTAGAAGCCAGGTAATGTACACAATACATTACATTAATCAAGAAGCCTAATTGCTCTTCCTCTCTTCCTGCTCTCCTGTGATAGGCAAGTGATTTTATCTATCAATGAAATAAGAACAAAATATGAGCTATCTTAGGCATCTAATAAGAAAAATGAAAGGCAGATTATCTCACAAGGTCTATCTTTAGAAGGAAGCAATATTGGCATCTTTTTTTTGTTGTTTATTGAGGAAGATTATCCCTGAGCTAACATCTGCTGCCAATCCTCCTCTTTTTGCTGAGGAAGACTGACCCTGAGCTAACATCTGCGCCATCTTCCTCTACGTTATATGTGGGACACCTGCCACAGCATGGCTTGACAAGCGGTGCCATGTCCACACCCAGGATCCGAACTGGCGAACCCCGGGCCGCCAAAGCGGAATGTGCGCACTTAACCGCTGTGCCACTGGGCAAGACTCTAGGTTTTATAAATTATTTTTGGTTTTGAAAGCAGTGATTTCATTAAAATATGCCTTTTCAATTATAAGGCATTTCAATTCAAAAAGCCCCATAAGATTACAGAAAGTGAGGTGCTTGTACCTATCCTTTAATTAGCTGGGAGAAGTGATGTGGTTGTCTGTATACAGGCCAATTTGACTGTCACAGGAAAGCCCCTCTCCTCTTCAGCCTGCCAGTTTATTGTCCCTACTTGGTGACATTCAGGTTGGGGACAGGTGGCCAGGAGAGAAATGCTGAATTGGCTTCCAGAAGGTTGTCTGTGCTTGGCTTTCCAACTTCTCTTGCTCAGGGAGCATGCAGTAATAAGAACCTCGAAGTTATAATGCCGTCCTCCATATATGGGCAATTTATTATTTTTTTAGGTTAGTGTTTCAGAGCATAAGAATGAAGATTGTAGTAAGGCACAGCTCTTTATTTCTTTTTAAAGATCAGCACCTGAGCTAATATCTGTTATCAATCTTCTTTTTTTTCCTCCTTCTCCCCAAAGCCCCCTAGTACATATTTGTATATTATAGTTGTAGGTCCTTCTGGTTGTGCCATCTGGGACACCACCTCAGCGTGGCTTGATGAGTGGTGCCATGTCCGCACCCAGGATCCGAACCGGTGAAACCCTGGGCTCCCAAAGCAGAGTGTGCGAACTCAACCACTCGGTCACGAGGCCGCCCCCCCAGCTTTTTCTTTTGTAATTACTCTTTATAAAGCAATCTATAGAAGTGTATTGACCAAGTAAATATAGTTACTAATCATCCAGTTATCTCTATAATGGTACTTAAGAATTATGGAAACTGATTAAGCTGTATTTATTGAGTAGAGTTTAAAGAGCATCCTCCTATGGACCCAACTCTGTGGAATACAGAGATTGCTGGTTTGTGGTGGACCTCTGGTCTGCAAGGAGCTGATAGTCAAGTTGAGTTGTCCTTGCATCACTTTATTCCTTTACAGTGGGAACGTTGATGGATGGGGAAATTCATCTAGAAAAGTGTTGAAGAATGTGATTGGCCCGTTAAGGATTAATACATTATTGAGAGTAGACAGAGCACACTGTTTTTTAGCCCAAAAGAAGCGAGTTATTCAGAGAAGGATGGGAAATGGCAAACTACCTTCAGTGCCTTTTTGCTCACTGTCAGAAAGGCGAGTTTCCAGAGTCTTCCAGATCAGATTGCCTGTATCTTTCTCACATTTTTGAGTTCCACAAACTTTCATTTTATCTTCCAGTTTGCCCAAAGATTAACACATATTTGTGTCTAATCAGGGAAGGACATGATACCGCATTATGAGCACTTTTAGGTGGAAAATCTTTGAGGGAAATAATTTTTATGTCGTTTGAAAGAAAGAAGAGTCTTAGTTTTGAGTCGCTTCAATTCTGGCAAGAGTTCAGGTCTTTGTCCTGATAACAGATTCAATCTTGTTTAAGCTCTATCTCAATAAGAATGTTTCAGGGGGGGAGGGAAGCACTTTCAAGTCTTTGCGTACTATGATCTAGAAAATGAGGCTGACCTTAGCAGCGGAATGCCCTTTCAGGATCGATCTACTTGATCTTCTGCTTTTTTCTTTCTCCATCCTGTTTTGTCTTGAATCTCCAGGTGCTCCATCTCAGAACTCTGCTAAAACTATTGACTGTCCTTCCCTGGCCAGTTTTTCTTTTTTTTTCCCCCCCACCATCTTCTAAAGGGACAGCTTCCAAACAAGTGCTCTTTAAATGAATGATAAATAATAAACCTTTATCTGTATGTATCCATATTACCAATCAGTATACTTAATAACAAAATATGGATAGAAAATGACCAATGTCACATTTTTCGTCCTTCGTCAAAATCAAAACCCTCTCTTTTACCCTTTGCTTTTAAATATGGGGGAGAACAAATTCCTAAGAAAACGCTAAACATATCCAAGAAATTGAGACAAATATATGTGGACAGAGGAGGACACTGACACTAATCTTGGCCACAGCCTGGAGTTATTCAGAAAGGATAGCAAGAGACAAATCTTGGAGGTTTTCAAGGGTCAGAAAGATGAGGAAAGCCTGGATATTGAGGTGTCACAGAAGCCAAGGGTACTGTTTCAAGAAGGAGGAAGTGGTCAGAAGTGTCAAGTGCTGCTAAAATATCAAGTATAAAGAGGACTGAAAGATATGGTTTGGATTTAGGGACTTGGAAGTTATTAGTGAGCTTTACAAGCATTGTTTCAGGGGAGTTATTATGGGGCTTGAAGTCAAATTGGTAGGTTGAGGAGCCAGTGGAAAATAAGGAAATTGAAAGGTAGATACGGACGCGTCCATCAATTCAGCGGAAGAGAGTAATAGGATGGTGGCTGGAGGAATATAGGGATATGAGGACTAGGAAAAACTTTATTTTAGATGGGAGATTCTTGAACAGGTTGAAAAGCTGATGAGAAGGGAGCTAGAAGGGATGGGTTGAATAGCCAAGAGAGACCGTATAATAGATAGATGATGTTAGGTTCCTGAGATCCACAATGACCCCAGACCCAAGAATCATCTTAGAATAGACCTGAGATACAAGATTCACCTGGAAAAGACCCCATTTTCAGGTGGCCTCTGGATTTAGGAAACCCAAGGTTCACCAGCCTGGCCTGAAGTTTGGAAGGAAGAGGAACTGACATACCATTTGCTCCTTCTTTGACTCTAAGGATCTCAGAGTTATGTTGGATATAATATCAAGCCTTGAAAAATAAGGAAAAGAGCAGGTAGTGAGGATGTATAAGATTACAATAAAAAACTAGATGTGGCCAATCAATTCATTACAGGTGAATCTAGCTTTGCCATAACCTGAAAGAGGTGGGTGGTCAGGCAACTAGATTTTGTCTCAAGGTGGACTTGTAAATGTTGAAAGCTGTCACCAAAGAAACTAAGGTGGAACCAACATATTAGCTGGGGGAAAATGCCGAGAGCCGTAGATCTTGGTGTGCCTGGGAAAAGCCAGAATTTAAAAAATAAAAATAGCTGTGATGAACAAATAGCACCCTTTTGACTCCTCAATTGCACACTACTCCCTCTGTGTCCATTTTGAGAGCTCGCCACCAAGATGTCTAAGACGTGAATCACTGGGCAATGCTTTGGGGACATGGCAATGCTAATTATATTAAGTACCCATGATTAGCTGTCTAGTCTTGTATTTGTATGTATAACTTAACCTAATCAAAGACTCCCTTCAGCCAAGCTGGCCTTGTTGATTGCCTGTGTTGACCGCCAACAATTTCATCAGGGAGAAGGCTAATGGGGAAACTGGAGGCAGATTGTGTTATGATTTATATGGGGCCATGAAGGTAGTGTTTCTGTCAGTGAGAGCTCTGAATAGATGCTGTGGGTAGTTGGATATGACTGAGATTTTTCAAAACTTGGGAGGCATGTTACATTTGGAAATTCCCCAGTGAAACATCAGAGATTTAATAAATTATTAAAGTTTTGTGTTCTTGCCTTCTGTGACATCTCTCCCCTTTATGCTTCATCAATGTTTGTTTCCCCAGTACGTGTTTGTTACTGTTCTTAGTTTAGGAAGATACAGGAAAAATCCCAAGTTAGTACATACCCTCTAGGGGTGATTCTCTAGTCCTTTTGTTGGACACAAACCCACAAAATAGCCCCATTTGTAGGCGCATGTAGGAGTAAAAGAATTCAGCTTCCCTGATGGTGGGGTAGGCTGAATTCCCATGGATGTCTGTTAGAATCCTGTACATCAAGGGAGGAACAAGGGCATCTTCCCGACTCATTTACATCATTTTCTGAGCTTGGAGAGAACATCCAAAGGCAGGACCATACACGGGTACTTGACTGTTTATCCCTTTTGAAAGCCCCACCCATCAGGTCTGTAAACTAGTTATATTCCGTTACTTAGGTAAGGGAGTAAAGTGGGAAGGGAAGGAGTGGAGAGGAGACCAAAGCTGGAGAGGCCAGCATTCTCCTGGGTTATTTTATGTTTTCTTGTGTTAATCCTAGGGGCTTACGTGTGAGGTCTGTGGTTAACTAGGTTTCTTCTTGGGGGAAAAATAGTCTTACCAGCATCTTTGGGCTGCTTTCCCAATTCTTAGTAATCCCCTTAGAACCTATGAAATGGGCAGATTGGCCACTCAAGACTTTCAGTGAGTGACTCTTTGATGTCACACCCAGGAGCTTCTGAAATGGGTCAAGAGAGATGCCCTGAAGCCACATTGTACGTGAAGTTGTCACATGTTCTTCTCTTTCCCATCTCAGATTGCACTGTTATGTTGTCCACCCAAGCTGGCCGGAGGATCCTAGAAGCAGCCCAGGTAACCGCCCTATCTAACGGGAAAATAGGCCCTTCTTCCCAAAGACATTTGCATCATCATCAAATTCCCATTAACAGCATCCTTGTGAGACAATGTGTAAGGGCAGACTATTAGATTATTATCAAACACATAATACGTTGGGAGCTGCAATTACCTAAATTTAACTGTAGATAGCAAACAGTTCCAGGTAGGAGAGGGTTTATTCATAAACATCAGCAGTTTTTGGTATAAATAGAAATTTTTCTTAACTACTGACAGTGTTGAACTTCACTTGAGCCCTGTGCTACTGGAATACAGTGATGAATAAGAAATATCCCCATCCTTGGGGCCAGCCTTGTGACCTAATGGTTGAGTTTGGCATGCTGCACTTCAGTGGCCTGGGTTCAGTTCCCAGGCATGGACCTACACCACTTGTCAGCGTCCATGCTGTGTTGGTGACCCACATACAAATAGAGGAAGATTGGCACAGATGTTAGCTCAGGGTGAATCTTCCTCTGCAAAAAAAAAAAAAAGAAGAAGAAGAAGAAGGAAAGAAAAGAAATATCCCCACCCTTTTGTATTCTTGGAGCAGTTTACAGCAAAGATTCCCCTCCCCTCTAGGAGTTATGTAAGACTCATCATGAATGAGCCCCTTGTTTACCTGTGACAAGGCCAGACACAGACCCTCTGAAATCCAGTTCTTTGTCTCATTAGGTGAATGTGCCAGTCTACACAGAATGCCTACTAATTTGACTTGACCAAACTTTAGTTAAGCCCAGAGGCCTCTGCTCACCCCTGAGGTTAAGCTAGCATTGGAACAGAGAACAATCTCTCCTGAAAATCTGCTGGCTGCAGAGAACACGTTTCCTGCCTGACTGTCTGATCATGCAACCTGCTCACCCCCGCACTTGACCCCTCCTAGGCTTGTTTATTCCTATTAAAAGAGACACTTTTTCTGGGCTGGCCAGGTGGTGTAGTGGTTAAGTTCGCATGCTCCACTTTGGCGGCCCTGGGTTCGCAGGTTTGGATCCCGGGTGTTGACCTAGCGCCGCTCGTCAAGCCATGCTGTGGCAGCATCCCACATAAAATGGAAGAAGAATGGCACAGATGTTAGCTCTGGGCCAATCTTCCTCACACACAAAAAAAGAGAGAGACACCCTTTTTGCCTGACCTTTGCTCAGACAGAGGCTTATAGATCTTAAGGTTGCTTGGTGGGAGCGTTGTCTCTATTGAACTAATTCCCCTCTCCTTTGGAAAGAGTCTTTTTAAATAAAGTCTCTCCTCATCTAAGTACAGATTTATTTTTATTTGATGCTACTCTATTTTATTATTTAACACTGAGTATATTGACCATGACTCTTTCGATGGCCCGGCTTCCTCTTTGGGACTTCAGTGGTGGGGGTGTGCTGCAGCCGTAGGTGCCTGTCTGTGATGAAGCCGATTCTGGGTGGGGTATTGGCTGGCCTGGCACTGACACTGGAGCCAATGCATTTCAGGGATAGAGCAGATCCTTTTCTTTCATGTATTTTTGAGTTATACTGAGCTCATTTGGGCAGGGTATAGTGGGGACATTTTGCTTGGCGGGAAAAAAAAGTGAAAACTGTTTAAAACACAGTCCTGGAGTTCACACTTTCCACTTTATGTATATGTATAATTCTTGAAGCTGATTTCTAAATAAGAGTTTATATTATATATGTGTGTGTATATGTATAGATAGATAATGTGGGCTCACTTTCTTAAAGGCTGTTGAGATACAACACAGGCATTGGGCCACCGTCTTGTTTTTATCACTCACATGCAAATGTCTGCAGGAAAAACTTTAAAATAGCAATTGATAGTATAATCATTTAATTATACCTATAAAATCTGAAAGAACATATAGATACAGTCCTTTATCAGAAAGAGGGCAAGGAAAGAAGCAGGTGAGGGTAGAAGAAAACCATCCTGCCACAAGGCTTTACAAAGCAACGTGATATTGAAATTATTCCTATGTTACAGATGAGGAAAAATGAGATTCGAGCAATTGTGATTTGCACAAAGTCACCTGATTTATGAGAGGCGGAGCCAGGGCGAGAACTAAGTTCTTCTGTTTTCTGGTCTAGGGCTCTCAGGAGTATACCGTGAAGCCTTCCCTCTCGTGAGTCCCAGGTAACAAAGACCAAGAAGAGTTCCAGTTTTGCTCTTTGTTGTTCATTTCACTGTCAGACCCTCTGCCACTTGTTGTCTCCATTGCTGCTTTCAACACCAGGGGCTTCTATCTACTCTTCCTCCTTTTCTAGTTTGCCTTGTTATTCAAGTGTTTATGAGCTTATTTCTGACTTCTGCCCAATCAGCCAGTCAGACGCATGATCTCCATTCTGTCCATTATCCCTTTGGTGCTGTGTCTGTTTCTGAGTACTTGGGAGCAGTTGCTTTGCTGACAGAGGTGGGGATAGAAAGAAAGGGAATGCTTGTGTTCCCCTCTGAACTCCCCGGATCTTTTGAAGATCTTCCCGAGGTTCTGGAAGACAGGAAGTGTCTTAGATACTGAAATGGTATTGTCTTCCATTCAGTATCCATTCTACCATCAAAAGATCTCATGACAAACAGTGTACTTAAGCACACCTTTTACCTTACCTTATGTAGTGGAGCCAAATTCTCTTTTGAGAATTATGGGGACTACAAATCTAGTTTGTTCCATGGAGGTAGCATTTTCATATCAGAGAGAATGAGTGATATACCTCACAGCCTCACTTGGTCAGGCGCATGCCTCACCTAGAGCAAGGTACAGCCCCTATTCTAGCCAACCTCGCTGGATGCCGTCCAGTATTTTAGCTGTCGGTTCGTGCTCTATATAAATGCAACGATGCCATGTGTACTATGAAGGGGCCACAGATGCATGCAGAATATGCAGGCTTTGCCGTTTATCTTAAATACTCCTGATGGTTACTGCAGGGACAACAAAACAAATGTAAGACATAGTGCCAGTGCTCCCCAAAGACTTGTCTGTCTTGTTCTTGAGAGCAGAATCCTTCCATATAGGGTAAATTTCTTTCCAGGCTCTTTAAATGTGAAAAGTAATAAGATATTTAAAGATCATTTCACTAACATGTAAAGGAAAATATGAACACGTGCATGTTAAATTGCAGGTCTCACAATTTTGGTACTAAGGAAACAGTAATTAAAGTAAGTTCAAAATGATGCTTGCTGACTGGGAACAGATATGGTGAAATAATGAGCCTGTAGAAATAATATTGAAGAGCTAATCAGGCTTAAAAAGCACGGAGGACATTTCTCCTCCCCCCTTCCCCTCTTTCTCTCTGGTTGTTCTCTCTTGCTTTTTCTCTCTGCATCCCTCCTGCTATGCCTTTCACAAGACACATAATTCTTACTTTGGGCATCAAGGTCACAATTCTCTTTGATAATTACATATGCATACATTTGACAATTACATGGGAGGGAAGAAACATTTACTTTACAAATGTGGAAAATAAAGAACATACTAATTTTGCGAAAGATAACCAAGTCCTTCCTTCAGCAGTGGAAAAATGGGCACATTACTGTAAAATGAAAACTGTGAGTTTCATTTTATAGTAATGGCTTCTCCTAATTAGGACCTCATAAGGAAAATGACAGAGTTCTTGGTTTAGGGGGCTGGCAACAGACCCTCCCCTAATAGCTTGAAGATAAGGAAAATCAGGGTGCCCCCTGAGGGTTAAATGAGGAAAACCTACACACCATGGATGCCATTAGCCATGTGTGGTGGGAAAGTAACAGATTTTCAATCAATGCATGGTTAAAAAATTTTAGAACACCCAAAACTCCAACCAAGGTGATTAAGAGCGATCTCGTGGAAGTAGAATTGGATGATGGTTGCTTTTAGCTGTAACAACCTCATCAGTTGTATTCCCGTGGGAAGACTGTGTGGATAGAAGGGTGATGTCAGCCCAGAGCAAGCTTTCTCACAGTGTGGTGAGAAGACCACCACTAAGAAGCTCCTGAGGTGTCTGTGAAAATGCAGATTCCCGGGCTTTACTGGACAAACACTGAATATTTGGGGGTGGCGTCAAAGAACTGGCATTTTGGTTATCTGTATTCAGTTGAATTTTTTCAACATTTTTTCTTTAATTTTTTAAAAATAAAAATACTATGTGTACATTGTAACTTAGATTGCAAATATGATGAAAAGAAAAGCAAATCTCACCTGACCCCTCTGTTTCTTCTAACCTGAGGTAACAATACTAACATCCTGGTGAGCGGCCTTCCACCGCATTCTCCACCCTACTCATATAAAAATATATGCAGTTATTAAGAGGGTTTTTGGGGCCGGCCCAGTGGCGCAGCGGTTAATTTCACACGTTCCACTTCTCAGTGGCCTGGGGTTTGCTGGTTCAGATCCCGGGTGCGGACATGGCACGGCTCGCAACGCCATGGTGTGATAGGCATCCCGCATATAAAAAGTAGAGGAAGATGGGCACGATGTTAACTCAGGGCCAGGCTTCCTCAGCAAAAAGAGGAGGACTGGCATTAGTTAGCTCAGGGCTAATCTTCCTCAGGGAAAAAAAAAGGGGGGGGGTTTTGGCCTCTGTTGTTTATTATAAACTAGATTGCGTTATACACATTATTTTGAAATTTTTCTCAAGTCATAATAGAAAACCCGCCAGGTTTAAAAAAAATGTATGTATGTATACACACACCTATCTATACATATACAACACACATATATGTGTGTCAGGTTGCTTGGAAATGCAGCTCAAAATGAATGGTAAGCTCCACTGAGGACTAAGTACTGGTAAAATAGTTAACAAGTACCGTAAGGGAGAGTTGAAAAAAACTTGGAAGAAATATGTCTGTGTGTATTTATATGTAAATTCGTTTCTTGTATAATTTTCCACAGTATGGATATATTAAGATGTTAAAGCATTTCCCTGTCAATAAACATTCAGATAGTTTCCTATTGTATGTTTTATTTTGTTGCTGTTACAGACAATGCTTTGATTTTGGGGAGATAGAATTGCAGAAGTGGTATTTCTAGGTCAAAAGCTGTATTTATTTTTAATTTTATTAGTATTAAAATATTACTTTCCTAAAAGCTTGAGGCAAAAAGCAAAAAAATATAGAAAACATGCACTAAATATGTGGTGAAGAGGACACCTGTTTACAGTATAAGGGCTGAAAGAAGAAAGGAGAGGGTCACCTCGTTCGACCTCAGCTGGAATGTGCACACTGAATGACTCAAATTTTTACCATTCTGTGCATGTCCACAAGTGACAGAAAAAGCAGTGCAAGTGTTGATTTGGGGGTTACAAATAAATTTTAGTGAGTGCGTGAATTTGTTAATACAGAATCCACAAATAACAAGGATTGACCGTATTCCCACCAGCAATGTGTTTGTCCCACTCCTTGTCCCTTATCTTTACTGAATGTTATTTTTTAAATGTTTGTGAAAATATTTTCTAGTTACTAGCTGCTAGTGAGGTTGAGCATATTTTTTTACGTTTATCTTACATTTGAGTGTAGTCTTTGACCACTGTCCTGTTTCTATGCTGTGCCCTTTTTCCTAGTAAGTGGTTAATTTTTTTCTCACCAATTTGTAGAAACTTTGTAGATGAAGGCAGACAACGCTTTGTCATATGTTATGCAGGTATTTTTCCCTTCCATTGCTTGTCTTATTTTTGGTTTGAGTATCTTTGCCAAATTTTTTGGTAGTCAAGTATGTCTGTCTCCCTTTTGTGACTTAACCTCCCCTATCTTGTAGTATCTCCAAGATTACATAGACTTCAAATTTTTATTCCAATATTTTGTGATATAATTTATATTTATTTATTTTATAGATTGGCACCTGAGCTAACAACTGTTGCCAATCGGGGTTTTTTTTTTTTTTTTTGGCTTTTTTCCACAAATCCCCCCAGTACATAGTTGTGTATTTTAGTTGTGGGTCCTTTTAGTTGTGGCATGTGGGACGCTGCCTCAACGTGGCCTGATAAGCAGTGCCATGTCCATGCCGAGGATCCAAACCGGCGAAACCCTGGGCTGCCGAAGCAGAGCGCATGAACCCAACCACTCGGCCATGGGGCCAACCCCAATATAATATATATTTAAATCTTGAATCTACCTAGAATGTCTTTACGTGTGGTATGAGTTGGGGTCTATGTTTATTTTCTTCCTGATAAACATTCTCCAGTTGTTCTGATGCTAATTAATTTTTCTTTGTGTGAGGAAGATGGTCCCTGAGCTAACATCTGTTGCCAATCTTCCTCTTTTTGCTTGAGGAAGATTGGCCCTGAGCTAACATCCATGCCAGTCTTCCTCTACTTTGTATGTGGGACACCACCACAGCATGGCTTGATGAGCAGTGTGTAGGTCCACACCTGGGATCCGAACCTGCAAACCCTGGACCACTGAAGCCCAGTGTGCAAACTTAACCACTATGCCACTGGGCCGGCCCCACTATTAACTTTTGAGAGCAGCCAGCCCATAGAACAGCAAATAGAAATCTGATAAGCCACAAGTTGGCAGTGCTCATTCAAGCACTGTGTAGAGAAAAGATATGATCTGTATGTCTGTGTGGTAGGTGTATCTCTTAAATCAATCAGGACCCCACGTTGCAAACATTAGACATCCAAATTCAAATGGCATAACTAGTAACATGCTCATTCACTCTCTTCCCTGGAAAATCCAGGGTAGAACGGGTTTTCAAGTTGCTTTGATCTAGCGGCACAGTGATATTTCAAAGACGCGGTTTCTTTCTATTTGTGCTCAGCCTTGCTCAATATCATCTTTCACCTAAATTTGGCTTTCCTCATGTTCATAAGGTGTTTACCAACAGCAATGAAGGCTATCTATCTTCTTTCTCATTCATGCACAGTGGTTGTGATGGACTTTTTTCTATGTTGTTATGGTTCTTCTGTGGTGGTTGTGACAGAGTTTCTAGGATCTAGAACCAACTAGCATGGGTGTCACATAATGGACATCAATGTCAGTGTGTGATGGGGCTGAGTGTTTTCCAGAATTGTCCTTAGATCTGCAGCATCCAAGCCTGGTTCCTAGGCTCAGCCAGAGATTCTGTGAGGTACCTAAGATCCTTTATTAATCTCTTTCTACTTAGCCTGGTTAAAGTAGATTCTGGTTTTGCAACTAAGAATAGTAATTGGAGCTGGAAATGTTTA